TGGTGAAAATTTATTTATTTCTCAATTGGATCATGTTATTTTATTTGGCAATTATGTGTGAAAAATAATATCACCCAAATGTCTGTCAAATCTGAAAGGAAAAAAAATCACTAGATGCTTAAACTTAATTCACATTTAAAATCAGTCTCTGGGACACCCTAGGGTGTTTCATTAAGACGGATCAAAGTCAGCAGTAAATAAATCAGTGTTATTGGTGAAAATTTATTTATTTCCAGATTGGATCATGTTATTTAAGTCATGATAATTATGTATAAAAAAATATCACCCAAATGTCTGTCAAATCTGAAAGAAAAAGAAAAAAACATCATTAGACGCTTAAACTTAATTCACATTTAAAATCGGTTCAAATTATTGGAACACCCTTTACAAGTATAAAGAACAAATTAAAAAAAAGACTCATTATATTGATGTTACCAATAACAATAAGTAAAAATAGGAGGTGCTGCAGTTCCACAGTGCCTATACACAAGCTGACACTAGTGGTTATTGATTCTTATAGAGCTGATCTGGTTCTTCATTTCTCCTCACAGTCTGCTCCATATCCGCAAATATCATGGGTGGTCTTGCAATCAGGTGTTAGTATTTGAGTGTTTGCTGTGCAGGATTGGACCCATTTTTCTCTGTGCCCAGTAAGTGATCCCTATTCATATTTACTGTTTTATGCTAGACTATTTTTCTTACGTATTTATAAGTTCACCATTTGTTCTTGCTTTGAATATTGCTGTGATATCTGGTCTGGTGCTCCTGATATATATTTAGAGATTCTTGATAAAATCCAAAGAAGAATCTGCAATTTTATTGGTCCTGACCTAATCATTTCAGCTTCAGTCACTTTCCCATTGCCGAAATGTAGCTTTCCTGTGTCTTTTCTATAAATACTTTCATGGCAATTGTGAAGTGTATTATCTGCCTTCAGACGGACAAACTACATTTTATCTCTCAGTTGTGTTTCTGTAATTGAACAGGACACACAACAAATAAATGAGAGATACTTTATCCTGGGGATTCAAACCCTGGAGCAGTAACTCCCTCATTGCACAAAAGAGGAAGAATCAGTGGAATATCAACATCAGTAGGACATTGGTTGCAGGGATTGGGCAATTTTTAGCCTTAGTCCAAGTGCACAGGATTGAGTTCCTCACATTAAACTGGCCTTGTGCCATATCTCAACATCATAGCAGGGGAGTAAATAACAAGATTAGTTTATTTTTTCTTTTGCTGTATTTCTGTTTTCGGGCATTTCATAGTTTTTAAATGATGGAAGCCTAATTCCAGATATTCTAACCCTACGACAACTTATAGCCATATCATATTGAAACATTGGTTAAGCAACAGTGAATCTGATCAGTATCTAGATGGGTGATCACTTGATAAAAGCAGATGCTGTAACTAGAATTTATGAATTTAAGCACAATACTAGATTGGTGGAAAGGTCTCATCATTTTATGGTTGAAATGGCTACATGTAACCATAAATATTATGTTGACAGTTTCTTCTGAAGCAATACTTGCTTGTGGAACTCTCTTTTCACTTCTTGATTTCTAGTCAAATTTGATCTTCAAAAATTTAAATGCAATGTCATTCATTATCTTCTGTCTTGTTAATTCTTATTTTTTTTTATTGTCCTCTCTCTTTAATATTAGTTTTTCTCATATTCTTTAACACTCAGTAACCCTTTGCCCCTCAGTAGCTTTATTGCCTTGCTTGGGATGAAATGATTAAAAAAAAGAAGAAAACAAAATTCAGCAAAGCCTCCTGGATATACTAATTTATTGACACAGATAATTTTATTGGTCCTGACCTGATCATTTCGGCTTCAGTCACTTTCCCATTGCCAAAATGTAGCTTTCCTGTGTCTTTTCTATAAATACTTTCATGCCAATTGTGAAGTGTATTATCTTCAAGAAATTGGTATATCTCAAGACAACATTCACTGGACAATACTTAAATTCTCACCATTCATACAGTGTAGAATTTTAAAAGCAATATCAATCATTACCTTCTGTCTTCTTAATTCTTGGTGTTTTATTGATTCCTCTCTTTAACAGTATTTTTTTCTCATATTTTCATATATTAACACACTCAGTAATCCTTTGCCTCTTAGTAACTTTATTGCCTTGCTTGGGGTGTCATGATTACCTATACCATTCTCCATGCCAGAAACAGATATGCTGACTTACAGCTCCAGAATTTTAGATTTTACAAGTTTATTTTGTATCCTCATTTTTTTTTTTAATAAATTGGATTCAACCAGTTTTGACCTGTTGGAAAGTAATGAAAGAAAAATTTCACCATTTTATTTTTGCAGCAAATTCTTGCTTATTGCAATGCCGTATTCAATTCTCTGTTGTTGGGAGATGATTCAGAAGAGATAAAAAAATTCCCACAAAATAATTCCACGCAATACTTAATTCTAGCCAATATTCATTATGCGATTCTACCAAGAGACATCTTTTAAGATAATGGTTCCTATCATGGGAATAACTCTGCTTTATCTATAATTCTATGAAACCATGACAAAGGCATCAGCTCATTTATTTTAATGCATATTACTATCAAGTTCAGTCAGCTGATTTTATTCTGCACTTTCAGAAAGCACTTGCAGGACCCATAAAAAGTCAATGGCTATTGAAAAATATAAAACTTATATATTTGTGTAAGTATTGCAATGATCTGGCGTTATTACCAAAAGAAATACAAAATCTTAGGGTGTTCAGAAAGTAATTATCTATTTCAACATTATAAATGATGGATCAACCAATTAACCCAGATTGAATGGTAGGAATCTGCATCTAGAATCAATTTATCATTTCTTCTATCTAACCACATGCTATTTATACTGAATTTCAGGGTTTAATCAGAAAAACTTGCAAAGTGTGAAATCTGAGAACCGAATACAATTTTCCTTCTTCAGCAGAAAACCAGGAAAGTCTATTAATCTATATGACTTGATTCCCTTGGAAACTCTCCAAAAGAGAAGGTGCATTCTTACCTGGAAGAACCAGAATGCCATCTTTACTTGTGTTGTACACTGTGTATGATTGCATGAGAACAGACAAAAATAGCCAAGTACTGCTTGCTAGGTGGAAAGAAAAAGAAACAAAATATATTTAAAATAAAATACTTTTTGTATTTGTGGGTGAGGGAAGCACACTGGAGAATGCGAGAGTCAGTAATCGATAGGCCTGGTGTTAAAGCTTGTGTTGAGTCAATTAACCTGTGTCCATCTAGTGTGTCGTGAGTGGGTCTTCTTAAACAGTCAGGGTTGACACATGACTCAGCATTTTTTGTCATGGTTTTGCTCTAGTAGCAATGTTTGACATTTAAATTTTATTTTATATTTTAGGGGATTTTTTTGTGAGCTAGATTTGATATTTGGAATCTCCATGCAGGAAGCAAATTTTTATTTTTAATTTTGCTTTTGTGGTGTTCGCATCTGGCTGATAGGTTCTGATGTGGAATGAATTAGAAAGAGGTCTAATTTGAAGCAGATTATAACACTTGAAATCTACACAAGGCAGTAGGCAGGTAGTCACAGAGTCCATCATCAGTCCCAGGTTGACTCAACAAAAAGGTTTATACACTAGGTGTTATGGTCTGGTTCCTTTTACCGTGGTGATAGTTCAAGATAGAACCAATAAAGAAGAACTCGAACACGTATATGGAATAACACAGGTATATTACAAACAGGAATATATACAGAGAAGTAGAAAGTGTTAGTACGAACAATCAGGTTTAGTAGGGAGAACAATGTAGTCTCGACCAGTATCACTATTCCAATGTCTTGTAGTAATTGTCTGAACGCGACTCTGTTTCGGGCTGCCTCTGACTCGGCTGACTGACTCCTGACGGACTTCTGACAGACATCACTCCAGATTTCAGACTGAACTCCCTGCTTCCTCTTGAGGTGCAGTATTTATTACGTATGGAATAGTCCATTATGGTATGATGGGTAAGGTCCCATAACACTAGGCTTATACATTACTGACTCTCCCATCCTCCAGTGTGCTTCCCTCATCCACAAAGAGAAAAAAATATTTTTTTAACATCTTGTTTCTTTTTCTTTCTACCTAGCAAGAGTACTTGGTTATTTTTGTTTGTTCTCATGCAATCATACACAGTGTACAACACAAGTAAAGATGGCATTCTGGTTCTTCCAGGTAAGAATGTACCTTTAATTTTGGAGAGTCTCCAAGGGAATTAACTCATATAGATTAACATATTTTTCTGGTTTGCTACTTCATTTTGAATAAATCATTGTTGCAATCATTTATCCCAGTTCCTTAATTTGAATATACAATGTCAGCCTTTCATTTTCACATTTCATTATTATAGATGATCAAAAGCAGGTTTTGATTCATCGTTAATTCATTGATTCATTTATCTAAGCTGTAAAAATGCTTCATTCTCCTTGTAGGTTTCAAGTGTTATAATCTGCTTCAAATTAGACCTCTTCTGATTCATTCCGCATCAAAACCTATCAGGCAGATGCTAACACCACAAAAGCAAAATTAAAAATAAAAATTTGTCTTCTACATGGAGATTCCAAATATCACATCCAGCTCACAAAAAATATAAAATAAAATCTAAATGTCAAACATTGCCACTGGAGTAAAAGCATCACAAAAAATGCTGAGTCATGTGTCAACCCTGACTGTTTAAAAGGATCTGCTCATGACACTCAAGGCAGTAGACAGACAGTCACAGAGTTCATCAGCAGCACCTACAAAAAATCTAACAATCTAAAAATAATTTCTGGCTTTAAATAACCTACAAAGGTTTAATAAAATAAGACAATAATGATTTAGTGATATAATTCTTACCAATTAATCCATAACAGGGGGTACAAGAGGTGGAGTCATACCTTTTCTAAGGCTATTTGTATGTAAGTGAATATAATGAACCCAACTGGAATTAGAACTCAGTTCTTGGATTAACAATACCAAGACATTATCCATTACACCACCCACTTATCCAAGCTTACAGCACCTGGTATTCCCAAGTGGTCACCCATCTAGGTACTGGCCAGGCTTGACGATGCTTAGCTTCAGTGATTGTACATGAAATGGTGTTTCAACGTTATGTGGCCATAAGCTGAATGTTGTTGCCTGTTATGAACTAGTGGATTAATCATTCAGATTTTTATTTGCTTAGGTCACTAGAAAATTTCATAAGTACCAGAACATTCAGAAATAAAGAAGTTGAAAACAGCATTTCAAACTATTTTGAGGGAACAAAGAAGTTGAAAACAGCGTTTCAAACTATTTTGAGGGGAAAAAATGTAAAATCGAAAATTTATCTTCCCTTTGGACAGCAGTCATTGAAAATGAATCTGATTACATTTTCCACAAATAATATTTAAATAAATATGACATTATTGACCAACTTATAAAATATGTTTAACGATATTGTAATTTAAGAGTATAAAATTTATTTGATTTACCAAATTCTAATTTATACAGATTTTCATAATTGTTCCTGATGTACATCTTTCTTTTTTTTTTTATCAGTTCATCTTAAGCAAGGTTACAAAGCCACTAAGGCACAAGGGCTTAGTGAGAGTGAAAGAATAAGAGACAAAGAAAAACATTATTAAGGAGAGAGAACAATAAAGGAAAAAGAACAAGTGAGAAGTGCAAGTGAAGAAACTCTCAGCATAGAACTTATGGTTGCATCTAGCGGCCATTTCAATAGTAAAATGATGAAACCTTGCTGCCAATCTAGTACTATGTATAAATTCATAGTCTAGATCCCATGGAGGAAAGTTCTTCAGGATAGTTACCATAAAATATAAGAAAAAAAGAAGTTATGTTACAGAGGTTGAAAAATGAATGAAGCCAAGATGCCACGTCAGGACCAATGAAATTGTAGATTCTTGTTTGGTTGGTTGGTTGGTTGGTTGGGTTTTATGGCATATCAACCACTGTAGTTCATTTAATGCCAAATTAAGTTAATATATATATATATATTCAATATACAGTACAATTAAACGTATAGCTGGCAACATTATTTTCTTTTCAAAAAAACGTATAGCTGGCAACATTATTTTTCTGAAAACATCATCTGAGGCCTTCCTTGCTGTTGGACGTAGTTTATCGTCATACCCAGGACACAGGTGTAGTTTCTCACCATACCCAGGACGCAGATGTAGTTTATTGTCATACCCAGGACATTCTTGTTTGGATTTTATCAAGAATCTCTAAATATATATCAGAAGCGCCAGATCAGATGTAGCAGCAATATTCAATGCACGGATGAATGGTAGACTTATAAATGTATAAGATAGATTACAGATGTTATTAGATTACACATGTAATTATCATTACATTTAATTATTCGAAGTAATAATAAGAAATTATTATAATAATTACAATAATAAATTGGCATCTCAGCTTCAGTCACTTTCCCACTGCTATAACATAGCTTTCTTTCTATAAATATTTTCGTGGATATTGTTCTGATAGCTTTCCTCTATGGTAACTAGACTTTATAAATTTAAGCACATTACTTTAATTGGTAGCAAGTTCTTATCATTTTACAGTTGTAATGGCTAGATGCAATTATAAATTCTATGCTAACAGTATCTTTTCTCACACTTCTCACTTGTGGAACTCTCTTCTAGCCACTTGCTTCCAACTTTGATTTTCAAAAATTTAAAAGCAATGTCAATCATTATCTTCTCTTTCTTTTAATTCCTGTTCTTTTATTGGTTCTCTCTCATTAATAATGTTTTTATTTTTATTTTTTCACTCTCAGTAAGGTCTTATGTCTTAGTGGCTTTGTAGCCTTGCTTAGGGTGAATTGATTAAAAAAAAAACTAAAAAAGATGTACATCATAAATGATTATGAAATTCTGTATAAATTAAAATTTGATAAACCAAATAAATTTTATACTTTTAAATTACAACATTATACTTTCGCTTGTAAAATTCTTTTCCGGCTTCTTGCTTTCCAGCCAGCTTTGAGCTTCAGAAATGTAAATGTAATGTCATTCGTCATTTTCTGTCTTCTTAATTCCTGTTCTTTTATTGTTCTATCTTAGTAATAATGTTTTTTTTTCTTGTATTCTTGCACACTCAGTAACTCCTTGAATCTTAGAGGCTCTATTGTCTTGCTTGGGGTGAAATGATTTAAAAAGATATTATAATTATATATATTATGTAATAATAATAACAATTATAATAATAATAATACATATATATTATTGGATGTAATAATAACTGCAAAACAACCAAATGTTGTTGGTCTATTGTCATATTGTGGGAATGCCTGATGGCAATGCAGACACATCGTATATTCTTGAATTCTTAAATTTCCAGGAAATGTTTATAAACCCAGGAATGGAACATTGATTCAGTGATGTGAGATTTAAATTCAATGACAGATGATTATATCAAGACGCTGAGCAGTGAATGTGAACTCCACCTGGAAAGTCAAGACAACGTTCCACATTATCCAATTTGATACAAATGGCGTAATAATTGAAAGTGGAATAACTCAGATATAGAGGCCATTCCCTCAAGAGTCACTTTGTCATTGCACTTAAAGTAGGATCATGGATATTGCTTGATATATTCCAAATGGAAATACTAAGAAAGAAAAAGAGTACTAAACAGCTACGTGATATCTGTCCTGTATGGTAGCGAATGTTGGACAATCTCCTCAAAGTTGAAGAAGAGACTTTAAGCAACAGAAATGTGGTTCTACAGAAAGATGCTGAGGATACCATGGATAAAACATGTGAGCAACAACAAGGTTTTGGAAAAAATGTAAACAAAAAGGAAACTTATACTTAGCATTCGAAAGAGGCATTTGAAATTTCTGGAGTATGTAATGAGGAAGGAGGGCTTGGAAAAAATGATACTCACAGGACAGATTGATGGAAAGAGGGACAGAGGAAATTAGCATGTAACAGACTTGATGGGCTTGAGTAAATAGAGAGTAGAACAGGGTTTTGGGAGGAATAACAAAAAGAAAACTTATTAAGAGTTATAAGAAATTAGATGTTGTTGAGGGCCATGATCGGTTACATCCTGAAAGGACATTGCATATAAAAAAAGAAGAAAGGATGAGAAATTTTGGGCTCTTTCTTGAATGGTTAGAATTTAAAAAAGTGACCATGTGCTAATTCAACTCTCAAGGGAGGCAAAAAAAATCCATCATATTTGAAACTTGTTTAGTTAGATCAGGCCAAAAAAATAAAGTACTGTTGCCTTATATGGGTAGAAGCTCCCCAGTCTTCACTTTTCAGTCTCGATAGACTCCAAAAGTGTTTCCATATCCTTGTGGGCGACAAATTATTTTCCATGTTGCAATCTTTTACACAGACGAAACATCATAAGTTTCTTCTTGCTCTATTGCTATTTCTTTGATAAGTTTTCAGAGGAATTGCATTCCTTTGTTCAACTAGTCCTTACCTTCATGGCTAGGACCCACCATGCTATTGTAGAGAACCACCCTCACTCCACTCGTATTCCACTGGTGAGAAGTAAGTTCCACTCAAGCAGCTTCTTTCCACGAACTGTTGTTTTGTGAAATTGACTCCCAAGAGAATGCTTTCTTGATGACTACAATCTTCACCTGTTCAGGGTAAACCGTTATCTTCCCCACATATCAACATAAATGGTGTGTCTTAATCTGTAACCCTCTAGCTTGAGTGGCTCCCTGGCATTGTACAGGGTGAGCATCATTGTAAAAAGAAAAGAAAAAGACAACTAAAAAATCAAATCTTGTAGATTTTTGGTCTTTTTCTTATGCTGTGTTATGGTCCACTATTGACATCAGTATTGATAAAAAATAAGGATATTTCATCATTCTAAAAATAACCTTGTCAGCAGTGATGATAGAAAAGAAAGATATTTCATCATCCTACTCTCATCATTATAAAAACGACCTCTCCACCACAAGAGAGTTAGTATAGCAGAGTAGTGTAGACTAAGGTACCCATAGCAGTAGTCAGTAGTAAAACAGAAGAGTAGACAGGTAAAAGTACAGAAACACATGTATACCAGTGTTCTGGGAAGAGCAAAAACAGATGATTTCAAATGCATCCTCACAAACGAAATTCTCAGAACCAAAACTAAGTAAGCATTGACTTTTAAACAAAAGTGACACTGAGAACATTTTTACACAGACATATACCAATATTCTGTAATTCACATCAAAAAAGAAAATACAAATTCTTGCTATTTATTTCAACACATTGTCCCAACTTTTTATTGTTATTATTGTTGTACATTTATGCATTTTAATTTCTATCATTAATATCAACCCAATTACAGTCAACAAATAATAACAATGGTTGAAAATAATACATCAACACCCAACATTACCAATTCCATTACAGCTGTTTCCCTTCAAGTGATAGACAATATGTTATGTTGGTACAACTACACATGCACACAAACAAGGGGTGCTGAGCATTTTAGAATTTTTTTTATTATATCTAGCCAAATTCATTAAGAGTCTTTATCTTTTATGGTGGAGTAATGGATAGCAGCTCAGATTGAGGAATCGGGGAGCTGAGTTCAAATTCCAGTAGAATCCATTACATTCATTTATGTGCTAATACTCTTGGAAAAGGTATGACACCTCTTCTTCTCCCCTCAGCTATGGGTAAATAGCAGAACAGACTGGGTTCTATAGTCTTGGATAGCAACTGGTCTACCACAGAAAGAAATGGTAACCTACTGCGGGAAAAAAATCTGCCTCATCAGTCATGTATCGGAAGATACATGATTGCTTAAGTGTGTATTATGCATGGTTCATGACTGCCTGATCTTTTTCGTTCTATCACTTTTGTAAGTAGGTATTCCACACTGCAATATAAGAAGATCTGCCAGAAATGATGAAATGTTGTAAGATCCAGGGTGCAAATTTACTGTAGATGTTCTTGTGATTAAGGCATTCTTTAGGCATTTGCATCGTAGTGAATTATTTTCTACTTTGATCAGAGTAGTATTTTTTATGCCAAAATTGTGACCAGTCTCGTTACAGTGGGCATTTGATATATTGTTTTGGCTTATATTGTGTGAATGTATTACATTTTTTATACTTATCTACATCTTCAGAAAAGTTCAATACATAACA